ATTTTCGAGATCGACGAATTTTCGAGTTTTTCAACGACCCCTGGTCATGGAATTTTCGAAGTCTCGCAACCGAACTTTGGAAAAATATTTCTAAATTGCCAAGGGACCCAATTTTTTTCTTTTTTGGCTATGTAGGAACTGGGGCTTATCTATCATCTACAAAATTTCGAGCCACCGTACCCCTTTGGAAGGGCGTCTTTAGGACCTCAAAACGGTTGGTTCGTGCTTTGCAAACCCTGTCACCATTTTATAAATTTAGTCGCGCCTTGACAATTATCGTTTTATTTTTTTCTGATACCAGTTTAAATAGCGCATCCTAAAGCCCTGTTCGTGATTTTTTTGACCAGCCGTTGATGCCAAGCAGAAAATTCATCAAACCGAAATGAACCGAATCTGAAGGGGCGTAAAAAAAATTTTGGGAAGGGAAGCCGAGAAATTTTTACTAATAAATCTGTGTTATCAGCTAAATAAAACTATGCAAAGACGAAAATAATTTAGCGTCGCAAAATTTTAAGAAGAATTCTGAACTTCGATTTTGGAACAGGGTGATTCTTGGCCCTGAGTTGAAAGTCACCATAATTTTGAATCAGATTGCTCCGGAATTTGACAGGCGTAGATAATAACATCAAAGCTATAATCGTATTTCAGGAGTCTCAATTCGCTGTTTTGTGTTCAATAGTATAATTCGTAGGAATCCACTTGATTATGATGGGTTTATTTAGGATATAGGTCGTATACGATATAAAGAGTATAAGCGCGGAACACCTGGGTCTCATAATGCGTATAGAGGGCTGAGTGGGGTGTTCAGAGCTTGTCGAGAAAGTCAAAGCTCTGGGAAAAAGAGAGCATTTCATGGGTCCAAGTGTTTAGTATATCCTTGTTTTGCTCCTGCTCTCCTTTTGCTCTTCCCTCTGGGGTCGAGGCGATTCTCTCTCGACACTCCGGGGCCGGCAAGCAGGTAGAGGCCACAAGGTTCCAAAACGAAATTCTGACATAGGAGATAATATGATTTGTAATTTCTAATTGGGTAATATTAGTTAGACAGGTGGTGTGAACGGTTGAGCTATATAGATATCATAAAAAATCGAATTCAAACGTTAATTTGTGGTATTCTCAAGCTCGAGCGTTATGTGTGAAGTGCTGGGGTTTTAGCTAGAAAAAGGGTTTAGTAAATATGAATTGGGATCGTTGGCAAGATGGGATTATTTTCGTAAATTTTTGTTTTGTTGTTGTTGGAGTTTGAAACTGGAGAATTGAATTCAAATTGGTTGGGCAAAGTTGCGGAATATTGAAATAGGAGCCGATGAAAAATGGAAGCCAAACGGCGGTGCGGGTTGATGGGGTGTTTAGCACAATCGCGGGCAAATGAGAATGCTGTGGTTCCCACCACAAAGGAACAGGCGCCTTTATTTACAGGCTCCTGTGGTGGGTGGGAGTGGGTGCAGAACTTACATCTCTTCTGAAGAGCCAGTAGTTGTTGAATGTCTTCGGGTGCGGCCAAATTTGCACCTATAAATTGAATGGTTGGTACGGGTCTGATGCGCTTACCCCTCTCGCTGAGATGCCCGGGTCGTCCGCAAAGCCGGCACCAAGTCCGGTTCGCGGTACTGGGGGGTTGGATATCGCCTCGCGCGTCGGGAATAAGGTGATCCAGACGGCAGCAGGTCGGCTTGCGCGGCTTGGTGTTGGGTGAGGCTCCGGGTTTCGAAGTGCGGACACCGCTACGGTCGTAGCTCCGGGATTCAGTGCGGGTACCGCCGCTGCGCGTAGCTCCGGGGTTCATTGCGGACACCGCTGCTGGCGTAGCTTCGGGGTTCGGTGTGGGCTCGTCGGCTGGCATGGCTTCAGGATTCAGGGCGGGGTGTGGTCCCCCGGCTCCATGAACTCTGGAAAGGGGGAGTTATAAAGGACTTGTTTAGCTCCAACTTGGATAGCTGCGGTAACTTAATGTTGGCGATAGATTTAATTGATGTTTGCTTGAAGTAGTCTAGTGAAGCTTGGACTTAGCCTGAGGTAATAGAGATTGTGAGGCTCTAAGGGAGATTAAAGATGGATGTTGACCTTGATGTATACTCATCAAAGAAATTCAAGGAAATGGCTGAAAATTCCCTGCATTCTCAATGATAATGATGCTGCAAGTCTTAATAAGTTTGGATTGATCCTGGCTGATGAGAATGAGTGTGGGGGCACACGACGCTGAGTCTGGCCTCAGGATTGAGCTTGAGACTTATGCTGACGTATGAAAGAACTCCAAGGAATTAGCTGGAATTCCTAAGAAGCCTAAGTGATAATGAGTTTTTTAAAATAAGATTAATTTGGGACTCAGCTTGGCTTATCAGAATCGGTCTGGGCACATGCAGTGAGTCTGGCCTCAGGATTGAGTTGGAAATTTAAGTCGGCCTATTGAAGAACTTCAAGGAAATGCTGAGATTTCCCGAAGTTTAAATAAGAATGAGTTTATAAATTATGATTAAGCTGGGATTTAGTCTGGCTTGTCAGATTGAGTGTGTAGCACATGACGGGTGAGTCATGGCCTCAGGATTGAGTTTGGAAATTTAAGTCGGCCTATTGAAGAACTTCCTGGGCGGAAATAACTGAGATTTCCCGAAGTTCAAATAAGAATGAGTTTATAAATTATGATTAAGCTGGGATTTAGTCTGGCTTGTCAGAATGAGTGTGTGGCACATGACGGTGAGTCTGGCCTCAGGATTGAGTTTGAAATTTAAGTCGGCCTATTGAAGAACTTCAAGGGAAATAACTGAGATTTCCGAAGTTTAAATAAGAATGAGTTTATAAACTGGTGTGTATACTTGGCCAGTTATTCGGGTAAAAAAGCGAAAACCAGTGCTTGATCAGATTGAATTCTTAATTTTGATAGTCAGGGTAAACTAAACTTTTTCGGAAGCTCGTTGTAAGATGAGCATGTGAACCTGAGTTTGACTTACATGTTCGTTTGGCTGCGGCGAGTACATCATCCCCGTCATCGGTGCTGTCGTTGAGCGACATTCGTTGAAATTCAGTCTTTGGGGGAATAGCTGCCGGGAATTGGCCTTCTTGTAGTGTAGGCCGGCACGTCTTGTTCCCCTGACCACTTCGCAAAGCTAGGTCAAGGTCCGCTTCAGAAATACCAGGCGTGGGAGGGTGACCACATCGGGTCTGTTCCGAATAAAGAGCTCGTCGTCGAGGTCCAAGTTATAGTTCGAGTCCATCTCCTATAGGTGATCCCAGTCATCCAAGGTGGAGCAGTGACTGGTATCTGGGAGCTGCCGGGGTGGGGGCAAGTGAACCCAAAGTGGTCCATTCGGTGACGGGACATGGCTAAGTGTTCAGATAGCTGTCGAGGGTGGGAGGAGGTGGTCGTGGGGGTTACTGTGGATGTTGGTCGTGTGCTTGGGTGAAGTTGAAGGAGGAGAATGATCTTGGGCTGGGACTTAGGGCCCTGATCCGTGGGCGGGGCTGATTCTCAAGGTGGCTAAAAACGGGTTGGTCGTGCTTGCGGCTGCCTGATGCTCGCCCAGGCCCTTATGGCACTGAACAGAGAGGAAAGAGAAGCGAAAATTACCGTCCGGAGCAGTCCGGTGATCTTGTAAAATCCAATAATAAGGAGCCAAGTGAAGTAGCAGATTGCTACAGCGGCCGCGCCGATGAGAACAACGATCAATATCGCCCACCGAATACTGGGGTATATCGTTGCTTTGATGTCGACGATAGCCTGTCGCATGCGCGAAATACCGAACAAATTGTCTAAAACGAGTCTTCCCGTTTTGGGTATGGGGGTCGTCTCCGGCGCGCGATGGTAGGTTTGAGATTGGTTTCATTGCTGCGGTCTTCCGTTTTGGCCTAATTGAACCTGCTCACTACGGTGGCTTCAGAGCTCGTCGATAGAGTGTTCGAGGAGAATTAAACCTAGTCCCAACATCTCGCCTACTTCTTTCTCCGCGACCGGATTTGTCGGGTTCTTTTGGAGAATCTGATCTTTCCTCCACATGGAAGCTTTTGTCCTAGCGTCAAATTTTCTTGCCTGATTCTTTTTTTTACTAGAAACGTTTTCTTTGACCTTAACTGTTGTTTTCGTTACGTGCGCGTCGCTACTATAAGTCGGTGTGCGGTACGGTTACTGATTTTTGTGGCGGGAACTGAGGGGCTGGTCGAATATTGCACGTTTTCCCGCAGTGGTGTTTTCGCCGATGTCCTGGAGTTCATCCCGTTTTCCTCCGTTAGTTTCTTAAGAAAATCGGAATAGTGAATTCTTCGTCGCGGCACTGGAAGCCTTTAAGTATGCTGTTGGGGTTTTGACTGGGAAGGGAAAAATTTGAGATTTCTGGAGTCTCCGGGCGAGGGATTCCGCCGAGGCCAGTCTCCCCACTTTTTTCGCTGCATAGTGCTCACTTTGACTTTTCAAGATTATACTGTAGTGATTCTCTGGGCTGTCAGTTTGTAGACTTGCTGTAGCTCTGCATGGGTGCAGGGCGTTTCGTTTTCTGAGACCTTCTGGCGCATTCCGTTCCATGAAAAATTTCGGCGAAGGCGATAACTCCGAAGCTCTACTTCCTTAATGTCCTTGGGCGTGATTTCGATATAACTGGAATCGTGTGCTTGGGATATGGAGTCCTTGGTGGGTAGCGATAGAGGAAGTTGATGCGGCTGGATGGTACTCGATAATTCTGTATCTCCGCCTGTTAGACCAGTTTGATCGTAGCACGTATTTAGAAACATACAGGTGGTCCAATTTCCGTAGATGTTGGTGGGGCATTGGATTGCTAGCTTCCTAGTGCCCTTTGAAAGAGCGCATATGCTTCTCCCCCTTGTCGTAGATACTTGGCGCCCAGCAATCGGGTATGAGGAGGTATCTCTCCATTAATAGTAAGCTGTATATTGCTGAAGTTGGGGTGGGGGTCTTGAGTGTCAAACGTGACAGTTTCGATTTCTGCCACTGCTTTTTAGGATTACATCGGTTATACGGTATGCAGGGACCATGATTCGCATCTGAATATCTGCAATGGTTCTGTGCCCTGTTGGGCGGCAAAAGATCGGGTGATGAGACAAGTAGGTCTGTAACGACAGTGTTCTGTCATGGGTTCCTGCTCCTCGTAGCAGAGCATTTTCTCCTGGGATCGGCCCATTGTGTCCGTCATCATCGTGATTTCCGTGTGATTGATTCTTCGGCAGATTTCTCGAGCGCATCCCCTTCCCCTTCACAATTTTCCTCAAATGCTGAAAAGGTTTCCGTGGGCCAAGAGTAAATAAGGTCTTTTCCTTGCATTTATAAGAGCTTTCCGGATCTTAATTTGCAGCTCGCCGATAATCTCTCCGGTTTGGCTGTCATATATACGTTTGCATATAGGCCGCTTCCTTATCTCTTTGGGGACCTGAATGTTAATGAATTGCCCGCAACGGTCGGCTGGTGCATGCGACGTCCGGCAGGGTGTGAGGCTGGCTCATATGTCAGACAGGGCGCGCTTGCCTCTAGGGCGCCGCCTGGGTGATAAAATATGCGCCCAGCAATCTGCCAGATTGCCACCTCTCGTTAGGGTTGCGGCCCGATTGAGAGGGTGGAGAGGGTATCCGCGCGAGTGGAGGGGACCAAGGAGAGAAAGAGCATAGTGGTGGTTGTGATCGTGATGAGTAGGGAAGTCGTGGCCAAGTTGAATTGTACTCCCTTTGGTCCTGGCCCGGAGTTCGTATGGTCATTTCTGTCGCGATCCGTGGCATTGCTGTCTTCCGATATCATTTCCTTTGGATTCTTTATTTTTAAGGGGCGTCCTCTTCGGTTCTTGGTCGTTGAACTGGGCAGCTTGAGCGTCCCTCTCTTCTTATTTCGGGGGAGATACTCGTCGTATTATTTTCCCTTGGTGGTGGCCGTCGGAATGCGTTATTCCGAATCATGAGTCGGTTTCTGACTTCTGGGGGATGACTGCGTCCGTAGGTCGTTCGTGGATGTTTCCGCTCGCTGTTTTCAGTTTGACGGTGCGTGCATACTCCATCCGAGCTAATTTTGCTCTGTAACGATGGCGAGCGCCACTGGCTTCGAGGCTTCTTAGACGCGACAGGAGCACCACCTCACCGACTTCAGTACGGTGGCGCCTTTTTTGTTATAATGTTGCTTGCGCAACTCAGAAAGGTGTTCGGACGTCCATTTGTCCCACACGGTCTTCGATGAAAGTTCGAGTCCTTGTCTCCAAGAGCGTTCGAGGTCACCTTGGCCAGGACGGAGGTCTGTAGTGGATCGTGCTTGGCGTCTCCGTCCAGCAACAACGTGGTTTCGGATAGATGAAGTCACAGGGCCGAATCGTGATATTATACATGTCGCCATATACGTAGCTGAGTGGTCTGAGTTGAATGGCCTCAACTTCCTGGCATGTGGAGAGATGAAAGTCTCTCCATTCTAGTTTTTTAGGGGCGGTGATCTTACAAAGGTGGATTTGAGTAATCCCATGGTTCTCTGTAACAGCCGCCGTCTCTAGGGCTGGCCGACGAATCAGTTGCCAGGAAATTCCTTGTTTAGTTAAAATGTCGTGAATTTTAGAATCCTCTATGAATTTCCGGACTGCGATGAGGGTTGGTTCCGTTGTCGAAGGCATTTATTGCGAACTCCGCGACGGGCTACGAAACGACAACAGCTAATGAAGGAAGGTGACCGCGGATAGATCTGTTGCGAATTCTAGGTGGATCAGCCTGGTTCGAGGCATTGAAAGACAGCTGATCCAAATTTTTGTGGGGCTTCGTTCTTTTTGGTGACAAACGGTCCCGCAGCAACTCCTCGGCGCATGCGTGAAAGGGATGCTGACGCTGGACGCGGAACTTACAGTATTGGGGACCGGATTTGTCGGAACCTCTTCTCTTGCATCTTAATGCATGTCACGCATTGCTGAGGACTTGTCGAGACTGCCGCTTTCAAATGTTGAAGCTTCTCAAATCGATCGCGGTCAAGACGTCGTATGGCTGGTGCGCCTGCATGACCCAGGAGGTCTTCGTGGGTTTTCTAATTGAGTTAGGGGCAGTGTAGGATCTTTGGCGTCCTAAAAGATGGGATGTTTTCTATCAAAAGTCCAAGGAGCGTTTTCCAGTCTTCCCTGAACTCGTTTGAATGTCATTTTCGTCGGGAATAGATCCGAGTATTTGTACCTCACCGAATCGTTTAAAGTTTTTTCGGTCCTTGATGGTGAATGTTTTCTGCTGTGTTGAGCTTGCTTTTTCGGAAATTTCTGGAAGTTTGGATTTAATGATTGCCCTGCTTTCGTCCGAGCATTTCTGTAAATCTTTTTGTGCAAGAACCAAGGCAACTTCACATTGGTCCTAGAAGGCGCCGATATGAGCTGAATCTCTCGACTGGGAGCAGAGGTAGCTGTGCTTTTGGTCGGCAGATGGCCAATACTTCAGCGTTTAGGTCTTGTTTTTCCTTGATATCGTATTTTGGTAATGCGAGTGGCCACTGGCAAATTGCATTTTTGGGCCCGAAACGCCACAAGTTCCCATTGATGCTGGCGAGGCTCGAGGTCCCTCGGGAGCTTTGATCAGCTGGGTTGTCTTTCGTATCGATATAGTGCAAGGTGAAACCCAATTCTGAATGAATTTTCCGGATTTTTGTCTTCATATTAGAGACTGCGATCGGAAGCTTCATCTGAGCCACGTTGCAAACCCAGTTCAAAGCTATCTGAGAGTCGCTTAGGATAGCTTTTTCGACGAAATTAACGTAGGTGCCGAGGTGTTTAATGATAAAATTCATTAAAATACATCCGGAGAGTAGGGCCATCATTTCCAACCGAGGGATCGTAAGCGTTTTCGACTTGCTTTTGTCTTTAGGGGTAATTCGGTTTTTGGAAATAAGAAGATGAGATTCCTCTCCCTGGACTAGGTAGGCGCAGCAGCCGTATGCCTTGGTGCTGCTGTCGGTGCAAATAACTAGACGGGTTGGCTTTAAGGGGTCAGCAACTGCCTTACGGGGGTAGGAGATTGCTTGGCCCTCCAATTCGTCTATGAGATTTTTGAAATACTGGGTTCGAGCTTTCGAGAGGGGCTCGTCCCAATCCGGCGCATGTTGATCGTGCCAGAGCTCCTGAATGAACAGCTTCATGGGAATCACTCCGGTGCTGGCAAGCCCTAGTGGATCGAAGACTTTGGCTACGTAACTTACGCACTCTCGCTTCGTGAGTATTTGGTCTCCTAGTATTGGAAAACCGATTTGTAGCTGGTCTTGGATTGTATCCCA